AAGGCAATGGCATTCCAGGTTGCAGAGAGCCCATTGGTTGAATTACCTTATTTATGGCTCTCAGGTCTGTCAGCATTCTCCAGTTACCTGACTTCTTCTTGATAACAAGTACAGGAGAATTCCAAGGGCTGGTAGATTGCTCTATGTGACCAGCCTCCAGCTGTTCCTGTTCTAACTTTTCTAGAGCCTCTAGCTTCTCAGAGTCAAAGGCCATTGCCCTATCCAGACAGGTTCATCTGTAAGCCATTTTAATGGCAGGGCCTTTGGTTCCTCTGAAGGCCTATCCTTTGTATTTAGTTTCTGTACAGCCTGGATAGTTGGTAACCATTTTCCATAGTGTCTTACCCAATCCTTCCTACTATCCAGCAGTTTTCTATAATTCATATCTGACATTGGAGGGATGTTAATTTGAGTATTCCATTGCTGTAAGAGATCACGACCCCAGAGATTTTTTTTTAAAGATTTATTTATTATGTATACAACATTCTGTCTGCATGTATCCCTGCACGCCTGAAGAGGGCACAGGATCTCATTATAGATGGTTGTGAGCCACCATGTGGTTGCTGGGAATTGAACTCAGGACCTCTGGAAGAGCAGTCAGTTCTCTTAACCTCTGAGCCATCTCTCCAGCCCACGACCCCAGAGATTTATAGCTATACCTGCCACAGATGGTTTCAGTCTCCCTTTCTGTCCAATGCAGACCACTGAGTTAACACTCTGTTGAACTCTTTAAGAGGCCATTTCTGAGGGCCAGACTTTTGGGTAATAATAGTCACATCTGCCCCAGTGTCTACTAAGCCATTAATAACTTTATTATTAATTTTCACTTTTAACTGAAGCCTTGTATCATTAATAGAAGCTTGCCAAAATATGTGTTTCTCATTTTGTCCAGTCACATTTGATTCTTCATCACTATTCAAATTACCATCTAGAGCAGTATCATTTTTCACAATAGGCAAAGAACTATCTATTCATCCTGTGAGAGATTGTCTTCCACTGCTACTGGGAATGACCGGACTTTCTCAATGTTTCTCAGAGTTTCCTGACCTTAACAGGTTCCCTTGCATGTCCCTGGTCATTCTGCATTCATTAGTCCAGTGTCTACCCTTACCGCATCTCCTACATAACCCAGAAGGCAATGATCTTTCGCGTGGGGAATTGTTAGAATTTCTTTGCCTACAATTTCTCCTTATATGTCCCATTCTACCACAGCTGAAACATCTCTTCTCCTGACACTTCTGTGGACTCCTGGAGTGTGCTCTTCCTATTCGAGGCTCTGGTTCATGTTAGCAATGAATGCTGGCCTCTTGATACCTGTATGAGTCCCTGTAAGGTGTTTTTCCTTCCCAAGTCCTTCTGTCATTATCTCTCCTAATCTCCTGCTGCCTCTTGAAACCTCTTGGGACAGATTCTCCTGCCCAGATTCCAGCATCTTGCATGTTATAGTCAATGTGGGCAGTATGCAGAACCCATTCTTCTAGTGGAGCTGATCTGATCTTTAAAGGCAAAAGTATTCTTTTGCATATTGGGTTTGCATTGTCATAAGCTAAGGTATACACAATCAAATGTTGTATCACTGAATCTGTTACTTGTAAGTCTACTGCTCTAGTCAACCGGTCTAAGAAATCCTTAAATGGTTCTATTTGTTCCTGTTCTATTCTGGTATAAGCTTCTAGTCGTTCTCTGGCTCACGAACCTTATCCCATCCATTTAATGCTGCTTTTCTGCATAGGGATAGCATATGGTCGTCATAGTCAGCCTGAACCTGTGGGTCAGCATAAATACCTTCTCCTAAGATTTTTTGAAGGGGCACATCAACCCCGTCTCTGATGGCCTGCTGTTCTAGGA